AACATTTCTGCCTGCTCTGTTCAGGCTGGGAGCCGGGAAAGGCTTTTTGTGCATACCGCACTTGGTGTATACAGCACTTCGTGCATATGGCACTTGCATCCATCACCCATCGCACAACTACACGTAAATAACTTCATGGCAGAGGTAGCACAACCTGAACGCTATCGCTGAGCCAAATCAACCACTGCTTCTCGTAATGCCTTCTCCTGTCCCCTTCTGGGGTGCACATATATATAAACAGATGCATTTATCAGATGCCTGTGTCTTTATTGTACGGACACCATATACCCTGTTTCTTTGTAACAGATTGTTCTGTCATTGTTCCACCCATTTGTTGTCTGTAAAGAGGCTGCACTTCAGAAACTTTTGTTCCAGGTGCCTATCACTGGATTGTCTGTACTGAAAAGAAGTTCAGATGACTTTTAAGTGACTACTGATGTATAACACTGTTTCAAATTTATAACGGGAGATAACTTCTGGGGAGTATGTTACTCTGCTGTTCTTATGAGAAGTGTCTTTTGTGCAAATTAGTCTTTCCCCAAATGGCACAGTTACAAAAATAGCTAGCCTGAAATTTAAAAAAAAAAATCTAATAAAGTAATTCATTCAGACATTATTTCTGAGTTGCAAATCCATCGTTCCTGTAGAGAGGGGGACATGTTCCCAAGGAAGGCTGCCCCCTTCATCACAAATGCCCCATTTAGTGGAAGATAGTTGTGAAACTTCCCCTCAGCAGGTGGATGACTGCAGCGATGGAAAAGCCATGCTCCCCAATGGGCTTCGCGAGGAGGTTCGTGTTTGTCTCTCCATCTTGTCATCCGATGGAAATTTAGAAGATGCCTCCTGCAGAAATATTTGTCCTGGCAGCCTGTCCAGATGACATTAGCAGACCCCTCCAAATTCCCAATAAACATGTCTTAAAAACATTCACCACTGGGACTGTGGAGGGCACAGGGATTGCACCTCACTCCCATTACACCCAGTGAGGTGACTGTGACCCCCTCTACAGACCCACAGCCCCTGGCCTGAGACCTCCTCCAGAACTGGGTGCTTGGGGGGGTTCTGCACATTTCACACTGATGAAGAAGAGCAAACAAGCGTTGTTGGCGTGCACACACCAGGGTCTGGAGTCCGCGCCTGAGGTCCTCGTCCCAATTCCTAGCCAAGGGGTGCAGCAAGGGCTGTGCAAAGCCCAGGACAGGCAGCGGGAGCTGGTCCCGCTTGCCTCCTGCATCCTCTCACTGTGGGGTCTGGGCTGGTGGGGACATA